ATGCCGGGGGGGGGGGGGGGTGTCCCAGCTGGCGGGTGACTGCAGCTCACCACATCCTGCCACCCAGCAGGGCAGGAAGCCGGGGGGTGGGAGGGATCTCCGAGCGCGAGGGGGTCGTATAACTTAACACAGCACAGGCAGGCAGATGGAGGGAAACTGAGGCACGAGGAGGTGGCAAGTCAGTGACAGAAGTGGGAAAAGATCCCAGACTGCTCTGTGCTAACCCACTAGACCCCCCTCCCCCCCCGCTTGACCCAGGGCTAGAGCCTGGCTCGGCTTTGCCTCTAAGCCCCCCCCCCAGGGGGTCTGGCCAGATGTGCTGGCGGAGCACGGAGCCGTTCTCACAGTGACCTGGGATCCCTGCCTCCTGGCGCCGACAGCCCTGGGCCCCAGCCACTGGGCCACGCAGACCTGCCCTCACCTGCCCGGAGCAGCTGCTGGCGAGGACTGGAACAGCAGACTCCCGGAGCAGATCCCGCTGTCTCCCTTCTTGCCTGCCCTGGGGCCCTCCCTGGCGTGGCGGTGGCAGGAATGGCTCCCATGCCTCCCAGCCGGGGACTGGGGCAACTTCTTGGCAGGAGAGGATAAAAGACCTACTCTCGCTGCTGGCGGAGGGAGCGCTCCCGTAGCGCCGGCCGGAGCCTGCGGAATGTGTGGGGGGCGGGGAGTCAGGCCATTCACAAAGGGCTCGGGGAGGAGGTGATGGTGAATACCCCCAGCCCCCACCCGACGGCTGCTCATATTGCGGTTTGTCACCTGGAGCAACAGGAAACCATCAGTGACAAACAGACGAGATAAACGCCACCAGCAGCGCGTCTCACACGTCCCGGGGGAGGGGCAACAGGCGGGGGGGTCCCGCCGGATTACACCCTGGCTGGGAGGCTTGGGACCTGGAGGGCGCCCTCTTCTGGGCAAAAGGGGCCTGCGGCTGCCCCCCGCAGCTCGCCAGTGGCCCCAGAGCTGATGGGCGAGGGGGCTGGGGAGAGGGTGATGGCCGGCAGGGGGGCGGGGCGGGGGCC